ATGAGGGGGTTTAAAATATAGTAAAAAAAAAAAAAAAAAAAAAGTGACTGATGCTGCTGGAGACACCTTGTCCTCCACGACAGGGAATGAGCCCACAGGCTGCCCCAGCTGGGATAGCCTTAACTCCTACTCACCCTGAGCCAGCCCAACCCTTGCACTGGCAGGGAGGGATGCCACAGGGTGCTCCCTGCACCAGAGCAGCTCTCTCTGCTCTAATAAGCTCATAGCTGTGTTTGGGAGCAATAGCATCTCTCTTCCTACAGATTCTCTGAGAGCAGGAACCAGTGTAGCCCATGGCTCTGGCAGCGTTTTCTGCCTCTGCATTTATTTACCTTCCAAATGTTGAAGCCTTTGATTGGTTGAAGCCAGGAGGAGCAATAAGTAACAGCTTCCTCCTAGGTGAGAAAGTGTGTGGTTCTGACCAGTTCGCAGTGTTACTGTACCACAAAACACATGAGAAGGGCTCTTCTTAGAGAGTGTTGATCCCCACAACTCCTGTGGACAGGGAGGCATATCAGCTAGGGAAGACACTTTGTAGGGGAAGCAGAGGAAAGCTGTACCTGGGAAGCTGAAAAGTGCTTTCATTAGGACTTGTTATCTCTCCTTCACTGGAGGGGAGTACTAGCATCCAATCTGTCACAAAGAAAATCTTCATCTCTCCCTTCTAACATGGTGGCTTAAGCAATGACCTAGATACAGGAGTTTTAGACTGCAACTGATCCTTCCATTTGTTTCTGCTCCTGGAAGCTTTTAGCAACAGCTGCTGGACTGCATCACACCAGGGAAAGGTCATCTTGATATGCCTCCTTCCCCCTTAGAATGGGGAAGGATTTGGCTTCTGTGTCTCACTCTCATGAATAGAAGCATCCTGTGCTGAAAATGGCTTGGAGGAGCAGGAAGTCTTTGCAGTCTCACTGCTCTCCAGCTTCCTCCCCGATGTGCACAGAGGTAACGCTCAGACACTGGCCCTGGCAGTTGCAGCACTGACCCTACATTGAGCCTAGATGAGCCCCACCATGCTGCTCCCAAAGTGGAGACACAGGTCCTTTCCAAAGCACCTCCCTCTGGGGCACACTTCACAGGAGAGCTCTTCGATTCATCTGACTGTGCCTTGCACTAAAAAGCCTTCCTGGGGAACTTGTGGCAACTCCAGGCTCGCCCTGATCTTCATGCAGGACCACAGGAGGCACATTGCAGCTGCAGCTGCTCTCCCAGCCACAACTCAACTGGCTGCTTCTGTTCCAGGAGACAGAAAAGCTCCCTCTGAAAAGGTTTGAAGGCTTTGTGCTATCCTTTCAGTAGTTTGCCATCAACGTGTATCCCACCATCTTGCCTGATCAGACTTCTGCAGCTCTGCAAGGACTACAGGTACACGACTGCACTGAGAGGAAAGACAGCCTGCAGCCACCACATTCCCAAAGGAAAATTACAGTCTCAGTGATCTACCACAGGACCTCAGGGAACAGAGAGGAGATAAGAAGGTAAAAACCATCCTCTCTGCTAAGAAACCCACCTGACATCATTCTGCCTTCCCTCTCACCAAGGTCAGAGCCAGGGAGAACATGCCACACAGAAGCACTGAGCAACAGCACCCAAGCTGCAGGATCTGGGATTGCTTGCAGCAACTGGTGGAGGGTTTTGAAATAAAATCAACTGTAGAAAAAGAAAAAAAGAAAGATGCTAGTCCTATGTAGGCTGTGAGCCAGGAACTTGTGTTTTAGGGGATGAGAAAACAACTTCAGCTTTCAGCAAAGATCAAGCCTCCCCTTTGGCACTGCTGACCTCAGAAATAAGCCAAAAAAATCTGGCATTTCTTTTGCTCTGCATTTGTTTCCTCTTTGCAAGTGCTCTCCATTGCAGGCTCAGCCTCCTTGCCAGGCCTACGAGGGTGCTTCAAGAAACCCAGTTTTGTTTTGTTGACAATTTATGGCAAACCTGCAACTCTCAAACTGCCCAGCGTTAGAAAACAGAAGGCTGCTGGACTACTCCCCCACCCCAGTGGCTTGTGGGGTGATTAAGGATAGCTTTAATTTGAGGCCTGCAGCTCAACAGCTCCCAAAGGATTGATAAAATATATATAGCAATCTCCAGTTCCACCTCTGGAGGCCGAGCTCTCTCCCGATGATTAACGACAGCTATTTCCTCTCTCCCTGCTGCTGAACAAGGTTGATCCTCCACAAGGTCCAGCCAGCTCTGGGCCCACACTCTGGCTACCAAACAGCAACACTTACAGTGAGAAAAAACCCTCCCAGAAACAGAATCAGCTCCACAGAAGTGAGACAGCACCCTGTAAGCCCAGAATAGATCATCTAATAAAGAAATTGAGGTAACAGGGTCAGGCTACCCAAGGCAGACCAGGCTGGGGCAGCAGTGCTAGCCTAACACAGCAGGGCTAGGAGCAGAGTCCAGAGCCACCTCTGAGGCTGCTCCCAGGAGGCAGCAACACGAGAGCAGCCTTCCCCTGCCAGCAAAACTCAGTCAGAAAGAGCTGCTGCTCAAGTATTACCCTTCAGTGCCTGTTGCTACAGCTGGAGGCTGAAGAGGAGGGCAGTGTGGGTGGGGAAGCAGCACTCATCTGAAGACAGATCTGCTGCCCACTCCTCATGCATCTGTGTCCTCCCCAGCCACTGCACATCACAGACTCCAGGCCAGAGGCAGCTACAACACAGATTAAACAAAAAAAAAACACAACAGTGAATATCCCAGCTTCCAGCTCCACAGAAACCCACCTTGCCCAGCCTTGTGCCCAGGAGGGGTCTCTGTTCTCACCTGGACACACAGATAACCCTCCAGTGCTGCTCTTACTAAAGAGCAGGTGCCAGAGACAAGCATTAGTTGTTGCTTAGAAGAAACCGATTGAGCTCTAGACTATGACAGGAGCCTGGTGAGGAGCGTGAGCCTCCTGGCTACCACAGCCCCAGGGAATCACACACTTGGGAAAAGATCACAACACACATCTCCAGAAGAGGTGGAGGAGGATTCAACAAGAGCAAAGAACTCCCTGAGGAGAGCTCCACTTTCTAGTATAAGTTTTAATATTTATTTAGTACAGGCCTGGTGAAGAGAACTGGGAAATAAGGCAAAGGCAAATTATCCTCCAGAGCCCAAGTTAACATCTCCTACACACAGACCATGCACAGCAGCAGCTGTGCTCCTCCCTGGAGTCATGTCCCACAACTTCCCCACCTGCTGGAGCACAACCCATTTATTTATAAATCCAGAAGGAACCGATTGACTTTTTTCAGGTATTCTGATTTCAAGTAATCTCCCAGCTCATCCTTTGTGACCCACAGGTAGTCTTTCTTCAGCTCTGCCTGTGACCAGTCGCTGCTCTGGAGGAAGGCTTTGAAGAAGAAGACTTTGGCTCCCACATTATGCTCAGTCCTGATGGCCTTGGGGAATTTATACTTGTAAATCCCATGTGGAGCATTCCCCAGGATTTTGGCTTGAATGTGATCTCCTGCAAGACCCCAGGAATGCAAAGAGAAAGAAAACAAGGTATAAGAACACAGAGCAAAAGTAACTGCTCTCCTATAGTAACAGGAAAGACACATAAGCCACTCCTTTTATCTGGTTCAGGCTGTTTCCTCTTCTCAGCAGAAATCCTGCCAATTACAAGCTTTTTTCTCAGGAAAAAACAACTTGTCCTGGAGTCCAGTGAGTCCTCTCAGAGTGACAGAGGGAGGGAAAG